GTCATTAGCACCTCTAGTAATGTATTTACTGAGAACAATGGTGACCTGTTCAATACTTATTTTACCCGCTGTAAAGGCAGTATTTACCTTCTTTTTTTTGGTCAGTTTCTTGGCTGCATCAGATTTGATCGGCTGGGTCGGAGGGTCCACCCTGCGGCCAAACGGTGAAGGCATGGTCTCCTCCAGGTTCATCTTCTTCACTTTAGGTTTGCCTACTTTACCCTTCACTAGTTTTATGGCTTTTCCTAAATTCTGCTCCTCTTTCTCCTGGGTTTCCACATTCTGTCAAATAAAAAGAAATAAAATTCTTTGACAAGAATTTCTTTACAGAAAATGTGAAAATGACAAAACAGTCCTGTAAATCCATGAAAAGAGGAWATAATAATAACCTGTACATTTGAATAATTTCATTATCTTACATGTGAGGCTGAACTCTAGTCATCATGATCCGTAGTTAATCATTTGTCTGAGCAGACTAGACTTTAAAACTGAGTCTTCAGTTTGCCTCAGGGTGGTCTCTCCTTGTTGGAGACTCAGACTAATGAGGGAAAGTGTCAAGTTTCCATTTCAKTCACTCATTTTTACTATCAATATGTCAGATACAAGGAATACCAAACCTGATTTAAACATGCACCTGCAACTTTAAATCTGAAAAAGTTTTGTAAAAATAAACAGAATCAATCATTTGGAAATCCTGTAAACCAGATTATTTTCACAGTGGAACATAGGAAATACAGTCCAGGATAGATTCTTTGTTTCATGGTGCAACAAATCSTCTGCTCAAAGTCCACCTCACTGTGGTGGAGGAGTATCCACATGATCCTAGAGACTATGTTGTCTGGTGCAATCGCCCCTGCTATGGTCTACAGCAGGGCTTCTTAACCTTTTTGACCTCGAGGCCCAATTTGTTGAACAAAAAGTGACACGAGGCCCAGTCAGACATTATTAATGTATAGATCAAAATGATAATTATTATAAATCTTGGTTTAATTTTTATTGTATTTACATCACAACTAAACTATCATAACTAACATAACTAAATTAAATACA